CGGTTGCTGGCCTGGGGGTGCCCCCTGCTGAGACTGTCGGGCGCTGAGTGCGGGTCGCTTGTACCAGCAGCCCCCGGTGGCGTTCGAGGACGTGGCTCTGTATTTCACCCGGGCGGAGTGGGCGCTGCTGTCCGAGTCAGAGAAGCAGCTGTACGGAGACCAGATGCAGAAGAATTACCGGGCCCTGGCTTCCCTGGGTAAGGCCCACGTTCTGGGGGTGCCCCCTGCTGAGACTGTCGGGCGCTGAGTGCGGGTCGCTTGTACCAGCAGCCCCCGGTGGCGTTCGAGGACGTGGCTCTGTATTTCACCCGGGCGGAGTGGGCGCTGCTGTCCGAGTCAGAGAAGCAGCTGTACGGAGACCAGATGCAGAAGAATTACCGGGCCCTGGCTTCCCTGGGTAAGGCCCACGTTCCCTTCTTGGATTCACCGCTGGGTTCCCTGTAAAAGCCCTGGCTGCCCTGTGACACCCAGCAACCCAGGGGCGGAGAATATCAGGCCCTTTCAGGTAGTCAGGTCTACAGAGCCTGGAGCTAAACTTAATGTAACTTGTTTACACGCATCTGAGGCCTGGCAGCAACAACCTTTCCCAGGAATCCCAGCCCAGACACTCATGACAACAGTCATGCTCAGAGCCGGGAGAAAATGTTACCTGCACATTCTAGCCCACCCACCTTTGCCCAGTTCCTAAGGCTCAAGACCTAAATCAGTTGGTTTAGACACTCACCCTTTCCCAACTCCTAGGGCTCGGGGCATAATTTTATATGCTGCGCTTTTTGGCATGGTTTTTATTAATGAAAAAATATTACACAAAAAAGGAATACTCTTAACCTCTGTCTGTGACCAGTCACCCAAACAGGGCATGTCTACACTGAGTTTTTTTCAGAATAACTCCCCTTATTTCGAAATAACAAGGTGACCGTCCACACAGCAAGCCCGTTGTTTTGAAATGATAGAAAAGCAGACCACTAGAACTGGGAGGGACCTCAAGAGGTCATCAAGTCCAGTCCCCTGCCCTCACGGCAGGACCAAGCACTGTCTAGATCCCTGACAAGTATCTGTCTAACCTGCTCTTAAATATTGCCGTTGATGGAGATTTCACAACCTCCCTAGGCAATTTATTCCAGTTTTTAACAATCCTGACAGTTAGGAACTTTTTCCTGATGTCCAGCCTAAGCCTCCCTTGCTGCATTTTAAGCCCATTGCTTCTTGTTCTATCCTCAGAGACCAAGAAGAACAATTTTCCTCCCTCCTTCTTGAGACCCCCTTTTTAGATGCTTGAAAACTGCTATTATGTCCCCTCTCGGTCTTCTTTTCTAAACAAAACAAGCCAATTTCTTACAGTCTTTCTTCATAGCTCATGTTTTCGAGACCTTTAAGATTTTTTTGTTCTTGTTGTTGCTCTTCTCTGGAACCTGTCCAGATTCTCCACAGCTTTCTTGAAATGTGGTGCCCAGAACTGGACACAATCCTCCAACTGAGGCTTAATCAGCGCAGAATAGAGTGGAAGAATGACTTCTCCTGCCTTGCTCACGGCGCTCCTGTTAATGCCTCCTAGAACCATGTTTGCGTTTTTACAACAGTGTCACACTGTTGACTCCTATTTAGCTTGTGTTCTACTATGGCCCCTAAATTCCTTTCTGCAGTATCCTTCCTAGACAGTCGCTTCCCATTCTGTATGGGCATGTCTACGCTACAGTGTTTATTTCAAATAACAAGGCAAGTTATTTGAAATAATTTAATGTCAACCCAGCAAGCCCATTATTTTGAAATAAATAACGGGCTTGCTGGAGTGAAATAAACTCTCATTTCATGAGGAATGATGCCAATTTTGAGAGTGCTGTTTCAAAATAGGGTGAATGTGGATGGTGCAGATGTGCTTAATTCAAAATAATTGGCCCCCAGGGCTTCTCACAGCTGCCCCTGTGGCCACTTTGTCCATACCCCTCATAACTCTATAGTTCCCCTTCCCCCTCCAGCCTTTAAAGCTGCAGCTACAGGGGAAACTGCATGTGGCACCACACTGGCCCTGACAGCCTTGTGCCACACAGCACCCTGGGTTGCTGCCATGGCAGACCCAAGTGCTCCCTCCACGGCTGCAGGGGAGTCCGCAGCCACTTCTGAAGCCCCTGCCTGAGGGTGAAAGAAGGCATCTTCCTGGACTGCTGCAGAGATCCTGGGTCTCCTTGAGGTCTGGGGGAATCCTAGAGCAGGAAGAGATCTCAGAAGGTCATCAAGTCCAGCCCCCTGCCCAAGGCAGGACCAATCCCAACTCAATCAACCCAGCCAGGGCTTTGTCAAGCCAAGGCTTAAAAACAAGAGCAGCATCCAGGATCTCCGCCCAAGAGGCGGAACGCTGATGCGTATGGCCTGATGGCCACCAGCCTGGCCCAGAAGGGGCACAGCTGGACCCTGGATCGAGTCCGGATGAAAACTAGAGATCTCCGGCAGGCCTACACTGAGGCAGGGGAGCAAAGTTCACACTCCAGGATGGCCCCGCACACCTGCTCCTACCTCCAGCACTGGATGCCATCCTGGGAGGGGGGCAGGTGGCTTACCCCCCTTGCCCGTGGCCTCCAGCCTGGCCACACCCGTCGTCAGCCTCCCCGAAGGTGGGGCTGTGGACCAGGGTGATGAGGAGGAGGCCAGCATCGACACCATGCCCACCAGCCAGGAGGTGGTCATCTCTGGAGCCGGTACCCCCCTCCCAGGATCTGTCCCAGGGCTCAGTGGAGGCTGGGGAAGGCACTTCATGTGAGTTCCATCACTTTCCCTAGCTACACGTGGGGGGAGGCGTCGGGCTGCAAGGGGCTTCAGCGCTCCTCGCTCGGCCTTCTTGGCCTGGGCATCGCACAGCAGCCTGTGCACATGGAGCGCCAGTCCGGGGCAGATAGCCACATGAGGCTGCCACACAAGAACCCGTTGCTCCTGCTGACAGGGTTTCGGGAGAGTCCTTCCTCACTCCCAACTCCATGCTGGGACACTCTCCCACCACCAGCCACCACTAAGGAGGCTGGGGTCATGGACACACACAGCAGTGCCGCACAGGCTTATGTCCGCACTCCTGGGCAGCATCTGCTCCCGGCCAAGTGTTATGCAGCAGAGGACACCAGACCACTGCATGGGAACCTGCCGGGAAGTGGAGGGGACCCCAGTAGCACCTTCTCTAGTCAGTGGCGTCTGCCACTCAGGCACGTTTCCTCCAATATACCCCCCTTCTCCTCCTCCAACAGGCAGGGGTAGAAATCCTCTCTCCGAGGGACTGCCAGTGCTGGACCCGGCGTGTGTGCACTGCATGGAGGGAAACCGTGCTGCCCCATCTCCCCCTCCTGGCTGCAGGCGCCCAGCCTGGCCGGCACCTTCCCATGCCTGCTTGTTCTGGGGCGTGGGGGGTAGCAAGGCTCTCTGGGACGTTCGTGCCCCTGCAGCACAGTGCCCACTGTCTATGCCACAGATGGCTTTGCTCAAAGCACGTCGCCGTCACCTGAACTCAGACCTGTTGGTGTCGGCTCAGGGATGAGGGCTAGGTTCGAGGCACAGTGTCTCCTGGGGTGACTGCCCTTCTGTGTTCTTCACAGCCAGACCGGGTGCGAGAGCGGTGCTTCCGCCCCCGCCGGCGCCCGCCGCCCAACCCCGTGCGAGCCGCCGGCGCAGGCAACCCTCTGAGGACCAGGAGCGGGAGCACGTGGCCTGCCTGCGTGCCCTGCAGTGGTCTCTCAAGCGGCAGAAGAAGAAGTGGGACGCCAACTTGGAGCTGCACCGCGCCGCACGGCGGGAGCTGTTGGAGCAGAACCGCAGCATATACGCGGCTTTCACCGTTGCGCTGGGAC